CGTAGCTCCCTCCATCCTTAATCAATTACAAAATATCTCAACAACAGCTTATTGGAAAGTTGTGTTTGTTTGTCCAACCAAAACATACATTTAAGACTAAAATCAAATAAGCTGAATTATACACTACTACAGCTAAATAATGATGCCTGTTTGCAATTTACGTGCACTGAATGAAACAATAATTTTGCTGAGCTGAGCTACTAGCTGTATGAGATGATAATGCACTTATATGATTTTAAAATGTACCTCAGTGAACCTGAATCACTTTATGTGAAATCTACTGAATAGAGGGATCTCCAGTTATTCATTTTCTCACTATTATTATTTATCTTCATCTTAAATTTAGCATAGCAAGCTAGTTAGGCAGCCCCAAAAGTAAATACATGAGATGCATTATTACAAGATGCTACTACAGGATTAGGAGACAGTACAGTTTTCAGGTTATGCTAAATACTAAAGCAGCTAAATAATGTAGCCTAACCAACAAAATAATTCATTTACCTTACCTGCAGGTGGCATCTAATAAGTAAAGAATTAAATTGACTTTTGTGATACAAAAAACAAGATGAACCATTCCTTTACTGAACTTTATTCTGGTTAGAATTTAAAAGAAAAATATCCATCCTTATGTAAATTAATGCAAAGCACAAGAAAATAATATCAGTTTTCGGGAGACACTTCTGTTTTATATATTTCTTTTATTCCTGCATGTAACTGATTAAATATGTACTCAGTGGAAATGTTCAGCTCTGAGTCCCACTTGAAATGACTCAGTGCTGCTGCTTTCATCCACTGCCTGAGCTGTTAATCATCGTCTGATTGCTGATGGCTGGAAAACGAACAAGCAGGGCTTTGATTCCTGGTTGCTGCTCTGATAATCAACTCTGAGTGTTTGCGTCAGACCTCGCACAACAACAGCCTTTTCCTACAGTCACCTCCTGGACTGTAATCAGTCCTACAGACAGAAATCCATCACACAAAGGGCAGATATGAATTTTAGCACTGATGGCAGCCTAAATACAACAGAACCACAATGATCAAGTGTTCACCCATCAACAACTCGGCTGTAGCCTTTGCTAACAAACACAAATTGATCTGAACAAGCGTGAATGATGGGATCTGAATGTAAAAGTGTTGCGCAACGTGAATCTTAAAGGGCAGGTATTAAATAGAGAAATGGAATTAAATATTCATACAGCAGGCAGCAGTCATCATCACTAATGAGAAAAACTATTCAATACTTACTGGGCTGTTTTTTTATAACAGCTGGACAGCAGAGGTGTAAATATATATTTAAAGTTGGAGAATATATTAAAATATGTTGCGGCAGGATTGCGTACATGGGCAAGCAGAAGGTTAGACTAGATGGGACCAAACAACCCCAGTTGAGGCCTGGTAGGTTTACCTGCTTGTGAAGTCTGCCAGAGGAAGAGCTCATTGGAGCACAACCTGATGCTGCCCAAGGAGCTTGGAAAACAAAAGGTACAGGTGGCGACCACGATCATGTTCTGTGGGCTGTAGCATCATCTATAGCAGACTCCATCTGCACTGGCATCAATAACAGGAAGTAGCAGCACCCAACCAAGCGTGTCATCACCTTTGTGCAAGCAGGGGTTAAGCCTCAGACAAAGACCCAGGGTTTTGCACTTGCTGGTCGGTGGAGGGAAGCAGCGTGAGCTCCTGGACATCATTGCAGTTACCACACTTAGGCCTGACAGTGTGCTGATGTTCAGGTTAACAAAACAAATGGTGTTGCTTGAGGTGACTGTTTCCTCTGGAGATAGACAAGCTAATGCTTCAGCCTACAACTTTTAGGTCTATACATTTTTTTTTCTTTCTTTCTTTTCTTTTGTAAACTTATCACTTTGTTTTTTTTTGCAACAAATACTTTGTTAAAAATGAAATCACTTAAACTAACTAACTAACCAACTAAACCTGCTGAGTGTCGAAAGAACAGGTGGAGAGTTCACTGTGAAAGTGGGATGTAAGGGCTTCAAACCCCGGGTTCATCACTGAAGATGGGTCCATGTTGGAAGTACAAGCCTACTAGCGGTGGAAGTGTGAGCTACTCGGTGCCTAAGTTTTAAACATTAATGACACAGCATAAACACAAGTTATTACGTGCACGTGTTATCTCCTAATCACGCCTTCAGTAGTCTGTATTTATTGTGTTCTGATCTAAATCGCTCTGTGTTACTGCAGCCGGCCCATTTCCTGATGGTTCATTAAACTCCATTCATTTCTATCTAATCACATTGTAATTAAGCTGCTCCTGCAGTCTTCGTCAGTCAGACAGAGTCTATTGACTGCTCATGTTCATCTCTCAGCTGACTGAAACGCAAACACACAGTTCGCTCCATTGTACAAAGTATAGCTGCACTTGTTTTCTTTCCGCCTCTGAAAACATGCAGCTGTTGTATTGTATTGATTT